GTTCCATAAAACTCAGGTGATTCAATACAAAGGAAAATACTTTAGATTTTATTGGTTTGTTCTCAAATTTAAGTATGTACTTCAGCAAGGTGCTTTCACTTGGTTTACGTTGTTACGAATCAAATAAGTAATCAATTAAGGAGTTGGAATTACGAATTATGACAGTACACTTTAATTGAAATAATTTTGATTATATTTATGGTGGATTTGAATATTTCTAGCAAAATCTCTGTTATTGATGTTACTTTTTGTAAAAAAATTAAATTTTTCCCTTCCAACAATTGTTTTTCTTGCTGTAAAAATGTTTTGAAACGATTTGGACTAAGAAAAACAATAAAAATAATTAATTATTTCGCATCACAAGATAATTTAAATGCGTGGAGGCCAAAGTAATAATATCATAAAAGGAAATGTGAACTCTTAATTGAGCTGTAGAAAGGAAGCTACAATAAATGAAGCTTTGAAGCTGCGAGATTCAGCTTTCTTAATTAAATAAAGGAGAGCGCTGTAAAAGGCACACAGTCGTTGCATATCTTTCTTACAATTATAGACATGAAGAACTATCAAGTGACAATTATAATTATAGTAGACGATCCTCCCCGGAACGGTCTCAATAAAGTTCCCTTGCAATTTGAAATAAAACGCTCTTTTACATGAAGGAAAGTCGCAGCAGGGAATAATTTTCTCCCCGTCGTTATTCGCATTCATTTGAATGTTCGCCAGCGCATCTTTGATGATAATTATTATTAAGATTGATGGCGTGTAATGGGCGCTTCTTCTTTAAGGTACGTCGAAGAGCAGCAGAATAACACGCACCCTTTAACACGGCCTCGTAAATGAAGCGCGGGACATTAAAATTAAACTGGCTGTTAATGCGACACGGGCCAATATGGGGGTCGTTATACGATGACATTTACAACAAAGGTGGGGCTGTCGGTGGCCGCACGCCAAGAGTCTTTTCCGACGTGACCTCCGCCTCCATTAATTTGTATCGCATCCCATGAGCAAGCAAAGGAAATGCATCTGAGAAGCGGCCAGGTGGGTTTGTGCTCTTTGCTCTCGGCCCTTGGCTGCTCAAAGATCAAACGACACCCCGCGCGTTCTCAAGTTCCTGAGCGCGCTGCCCTTTCTTTGCCAGTCAGTTATTGAGGCGCGGTCTGAGATGCACAAAGTGTTTGAGAATGCTTTGCCCGCGCAATCGAATAATCTTGCAGGCAAAAATTCCAATTTGGTCTTTTGCTTTGGATCTAACAACGCTTGGAAAATAATCTGCATATTAGTGAAATTTTTACTTGAATACATTCCAGTATTGGTGAAATAAGAAACAGATGTTTCGATTGCACAATTTAAGTATGAATTATTTGTAAAAGACTATTTTCACTTACGAATAGGTCCTTGTTCCTTGTGTAGAAATGTTTGGAATTTACAAGCAATTCCATATCAAAAATTTAATTTCAATGGGCATTATGATTATCATGATTTTAAGTACTTAATCTGACATGTAAAAAGAAAACTGGAATCCATCATGTATTTTTATTGTGCAACTGTTCCTTAATAGGTTAAGAATGTGTCATTTATTTGTATTATCTTATTTAATCAATATTTTATGATAAAATAAGAATTAATCAAGATATTTTTATACAAATGTTTGATCGAATATATAAAAATTTACCGATATTTAAAAAATTAAGAATAATAATTTTTTAAGTTTGAAATATTAAATATTATTAAAAATGCAACATACAACTGCATGTTAATTATACTTTATTTTTAGTTATAAAATTTTAAAAAGGAACAATTTAAACTGTAAATTTAAAGAAGCAATTACAATAAATTGTAGTCTCAAATTACTGTGCATTTTCATAAAAAAAAAAAAAAAAAATACGATGATTATTTCAAATCATGCCGAAAAAGTTTAGGGCCTAGAAACAATTTCCTCTACGACTTTGGAAAAAGAGTGCACATTAGGCGTGTAATACGGTTTCCAGGCTTGGTGGCTGCGTCGGGGGCGGGCGGTGCTGCGCGCGTGAAATATGCACTTGATCCACTTTAAATTCGCACTCGAGCCATAACTCAGGCACACATAGTTGGACCTCAAGGGGCCTAATTTAAAAGTTTTTCAGCCCAGTTTCAAGGGGGAGCCGGGGTTGACGATGATATAACACGGGCAAAACTCTCTGCTTTTATTCGACCTCGCTTTTGCGACTAATGAGCCAAGAGTTGATATTGCGATTTGCGAAGATTAAATTTCTGCGTGAAAAGATTTTCTTGGCCTACATTTTGATAATATTGCAGTAACTCTCGGTGCTGGTGAAAAGCAGAGGCAGGTTGCGCCGTGGCAGTAAATCTGAGCTGGTTAAACGCGCTCACTACTAACATGCGCGCGCCCTCATTAAGACGTCGAGATTCGCTAAATTAATAATGCGCACCGCAATTTATTCGGTGTGCAGCGCCAAGAAGCAGGGAAGTATGAAGAGATTTTCAGGTATAAACACTTTAGAAGGCAAAAATCAAGTGAAATATAAGTCCACATATTCAATTTTAAGTTAATTTACAAAAGCAACTCATCCCCTTAAGAGCTTAATTAAAGGCATGAACTATTTATATGATTTTTACTATATAAATTATGACTGAAGATAAAAAAAAATTGACCAATAAATGTTTTCAAAAGAGTATAAAAAATTCCATTTATCCACAATATTGGAGTTACATTAAAAAAATTGGAAGAAAATCAAGACTCTTAGCTATAAAGCTCTTTTGAGTTAGGTAGGGTTAAGCCCTGATGGAAATTTTCCGCTCTGATTTTCCCGTGAGCCGAGTGCACATATGGAACAACTCGTTTCAATATTTCCAGGCGCCGCAGCTGCTGGAAATTCGCGCAAGTGTGTGTTTGTTTTGCTTGGCTGCTGGCGTGGGGTTTAATTTATTAGGCCAGAGCCCACCCTGATACCTCTCAAGGTTCGGTATTGACTCAGGAAGTGTGTTTGGTCCCGGGAGGAATGCGAGACGGCCAGGTGCGCCATAACTTTGTGCCTGCGGTCCCTTCCGATCAAATGCCGCGACATTTTGTCCCTTTTGATTGGTCTCTGACCCCTCGAAGAATGAAGTTCATATTTGATCGCCACAAAATAGCAGGCACCATCTTCAATGTTGGGAAAAAAATAGGAATTTCATTTTTGCTCATGATTTAAAATTAATTGTGAAGAAGTGAGGAAAAGCTATATATAATATGTTTTGTGCTCTAATTGGATTTTTTATTTGCCGATTGCAGATAAAATTATTATAAAAAAATCCCCACTTAATAACACATCTGCGATGAAATTTTAGATAGCCGGGAAAAAAATTCTAGTTTATAAATTATCTTATTGAATATGCAAATTTTTCCACCTGATCAATACTTCACGCCCCACTTTTTGCTCGGTGCGCAAATATGAAATTCAATCAAATCAAGTGCAAACATTAAAATTCATCCGGGGCGTGTGTTCTCGCTCAATTTCCATTTGCATTGCTCTGCTGACACATCTCTAGAACAGAGATGTTCATAAAATATATATATTGAAAACAGTTTTTCTCTCTTTCCCGGTCCGACTCTCTCTCTCTCTCTCTCTCTCTCTCTCTCTCTCTCTCTCTCTCTCTCTCTCTATGTATGTGTATTATTGAATGGAAATATCAGCAATGCAGAACTAACCGACCTCTCGCCTCCTTTTTCCAAGCCAGCTATAGCTACACAAAAGAATTCAATATAGTGCAGAGAAGTGCGCTCTAGTAACATTCCAAACGGAGCACAGCAAAAGCTGCGACTATCTCGCAGGCAGATTCATTTCACCCGCGCACCACATTCCTCAATATGCATGACAAAAGCTGAGAAATCCTCTCGTCCTATTCCCGAGATCAAAACTTTTGATACACAGAAATTTCGTGGCAAATTTATGGGTGCCGGGCCAGGTCAACCAACGGTGAATGGTGGTTTGGTCTAGCTTGGAATTTAATTTTGATGAAGCACCCGACAATTTGAGTATTAAAACTGATGGCACTGATTGCATATATCTTGTTCATTATCATCTTAAATTGCCTACTTTTGCATTTCCTATATTCTAATAATAATTGGGTTGAGATTCCTTTTTGTCAAAGATTTTACAAGCAACCTTATTAAAAAAATAAAAATAGTTGGGGGGATTCCTGAGGGTTTCATTGAATTATTTATCAAAAAGGCATCACCACCAGCAGATTTTGCTAAAATATCCAAGATCAAAAAGACCCCATACGCCGTAAATTTTTTATCTTTTTAATTATCCAAAACTTTTCCCTTTACCTACATCATATTTAGTAATGAAGCAAGAAAACAGAGTAGACTTTAGAATCTTCCTGATTAGATATTTGATTAAAATTTTTCTACATTGTATTAATTCTGTATATTTATGTTTTAGTAATAAATTCAGTTGAATTTAAACCATTATTTTTCTAATCATTTCCAACAAATAAATCTGTCGATTTTTTTATCATAACCGCTATATTAGAAAAAAAATGGTAAAATTGTATAACTCGTTGATCACAAATTGTCTCAGAATTTTAAAACTTTGAACATTTGAATAAATTTTAGTTGAAATTATCGGAGTTATAAGCTTGCAGGTAATGCGCTTAATTTGAAAAATCAGTGCATTTAACATCTTTTTTTTTGGTCCGAGTTTTGTGGAAGTAGGACGAGAGCGGAGGTGGATAAATGGACACAAAGCATAAAAAGGAATGGAGCCAAAAGTAGAAAAGAGGTCTTTGTTTTACGGGCATCTTTTATTCATCGCCTCTAAGAGATATAAAAGTGGGATCACCAGGGATGGCGATATTGTGCATGCTCTCTCGCTCCTGTAACTCTTTCCCGCCTTCTTTCTCGTCCTTTCTCTTTTTCCGCGTGCGAGCGCGCGAGGTGTGTTTTAACGAAATTACCAGCTTGCTCGATGTAATATAAATTTTTTGTTTGCTCTCCTTTCTATGTATGTACTCACCGTCGCTGAACTCCTGCAGCTCCGAGAGAGGAATCCCGTTGACGTCGCCCTCTGCCTGCTTTTTGCCGCCTGCAACAAAACAAGCGCAAATTCGATCAATCAAGTGTCAAATTGTCAACTCGCGAGGAGAAAGAGATCGAGTCTCGCACAGGTGTGCCTGCAGGAAATTTGGCGAGACGATGCTGCGTATTAAAATTTCGCAGCAGTGCTTTTAAATTAGATTTTGCTCGACCCACGCGCAACGATCAAGTAAAGCAATAATCTTTTAAAGATCACTAATAAAAATATGGACGAATAAAAGTTGTACTTGAAAACTTATCTTTTTCATCAGCTTGCCCATTTGAAGTATTAATAAAATTAGTATAATTAATTATATAATATGTTGTTATTTGATTAACAATTAATGACATTCGCCTTTGCAAAAGATTTGTCACATAATTAAGATAATATTTTTTTTTTCGATCTTTCGGTGAATAACTAAAATATAAAATAAATTGGGAATTTCAAAATGGGAAATAATAATGGTCGCAAGCCTTGAATAAAGCTGTGGGAATTATCCGATTATTGGATGTTGGCAACAATAAGCCATAAGATTTTATCCAAACAAGGGTGCTTTACAGGGCCAATAAATCCGTCCGAAGCGTTGGCAAGAGCTATCTGGAGAGGCGATGAATAATTGAGTGAGAGGGCTTTGTGTGCGCTGCACTCGGTCCGCCGATGCAACGGTGGCCACGGGCGAGATGCATTTGGCCGTGATTGCCGGGCTGGTGCACAAACACGAGGTCAGCAGGCATCAATCGGGCCATTATCGCCCCGCGCGAGCGCCGACAAACAGCCCGCCATTGTTGTTTAATGCACCAATTATCAACTCTTGTCCGACACAGGGCGTCTCTCTCTCTCTCTGAATAAATAGCGCGCCGCTTTCAACAAGGCTGATATTTAGCAGTGCGGCGGACGGACGGCACCGACCGTAAAAATTATAGTGACACATGCCCGCCGCCGGCAAATGGCTAATTTCGCGAGTGCCGCTTACAAAGTGGCGCGTTTGTTGCGTGTGAGTTATTGTAGTGACCGCGGCTGAAACGAGACAATAAACGGGTTAATAATGGAGCGAGGAGAAACTAGGGTGTTTCGAGGATAGGCCAGGGTACGTCAAAATTTTGGTTAAAAATGTGACTAAAACATGATCTAATCTGATTTAATTGGTTAAAAAATAGCAAGGTTTAAAAAAAATCGGTGATTCAATGGTAAAATTTTGGTTTTTCCTTATTTTTTAAACAATTATTTTAAAATTTTCTGGTTTTACTTCGAATTTTCAGTTCTCATAATATATCATTTTATTTCAATGTTCTTTCTTGGTTGCCATATTAGTAAATCCAATGAAATAAAATAGCTTAACAATTATTCTGACAGTATTTTAGTTTAACTGTAGCATATGTATCAAAATGGTCACAAAAATATTAAAAGCGAAGGAATAATGTTTTTAGAGAAACAATGATAAGTCGATAAAAGCCAGCAAGCTTTTCCTAAAACTTCGGAAATGAAAAAGACTGCACATTCACCTCAGTCAGAGAGCCTTTTTTATTATTTAATTTTTCAATTTAATATAGTAGAAATTGAATTTTATTTCTATATTGAGCAATGAGAGGTTTAAAAAAATTATCTTACTATTAGTGGTTTTCTTATTCAAATTTTTTTCATTTCAGATTGCTCTCCTCCTCCGATTTCAACATTATTTTCCCTTCTTGACATCCTTCCCTAAGCTTGAAATAATTCCTGCGCCACCTTCAAAGACTTTTGGAGGCGTTAAGATGAAAGAAAACTTTCCGTGCTTAGAAAAACAATCATCTCGAGGGAGGGCTTTGATGATTTCATATATATCCCACACGTCAATTCCAAGTCCCAAAGATAAATTTCTCCGGTCACATTTTGCCTCAGACCCGGGTCTCTAGGCGAGCGTTTGTGTTTCCGACGCGGCGCGAAATTGATATCAGTGTTAAGCCTTTAGTACCCAAACTGCCGGTTGATGGACATTTCGCGCTGATGGGGAATTAAGATGGCGAGAGGGAGAGAAGCGAGCGAGCGAGCGTCATAAAAGTTTTCTCCCAGGAAAAACAACTACAATAATAATAACTGGGCGTCACGCCGGCAATATCGCGGCGCTGTGACATGTGTCAGCCGCAAAGATGCTTTGTGAGCGCCCAAGCGCCCGCAAAGCGACGCGGCAGCCCGAGCAGTGGGAAGCGGAGCACCGGCCAAAAAAGAAAAGCGCCGCCGCCGCTTAACCCTTGCTCTCGCGAAATGAGCTTTTGGCCCGATTGTTTTCCGCAGAGAGGTGACGCGTAAAGTTGATCTTTTCATACTGGGGCAATGTCGTTTGTTGGAAAATTCTCTTTTAAAGGTAAAAGCGGAAACGTCGAGGCTTTTTCGCCGATCTCCTATTCTTTCACAATTACAAAAAGCACACGAGATTGGTTTGGTTGTGAGCAAATTCGCATATTCTAAGAAGAAAAATTTAAAGAATTGTAATGTTTTTTGGATATAATTTTTTTAATAAAAAAAAAATTGCTACTTTTTAAAGAGTTTCTTCAAAAGTTTGATTTTCACTGAAAATTTTGGATGATTTGGTAGCTGATTTTCCCGTAATCCAGACTATATAAACCAATAAAATATTTTTCAATCTCGACAACTTAAAAATAATTTAATCAAAATTATTCTAGAGCAATAATTTTAGAAATCTCCCGAATCAATCTATTGTAATTTAGAATGAAAAATGACGGTTAATTACTTTTACGCAGTTGTGATTTATTTGTTTTCTTTTGGAGGGAAAATAATTTACTGCTAGCACTGATAATAGCAACCCGTGTTATTAATGAAATGCACCGGCTATAAAATTTATCTTCGATTTCTTGGTTATGCAACTTGCTCCACACCATTGAGAGGCACGTTGCCTACTCAAATATTCGGAAGGCGACACGCTCAATTACAATAAGTTGCAAGTTCCAGGAAGTTGAATTTATTCACACGACTTTCCGTGGAAATTATGCTTAAAGATGTGGCTTGAAGAAGTGTTCTTGCGGCGCAAATCCCCGTTTTAAGCCGTTCAAGGCAGTTAAATTTGATTGGCTTGAGGTGAAAATTCACCCAGCCGCAGATCTCACGCGCGCCACTTTCCGCAAGAGAAACGAAATAATTCCGCTGATGGAACTAATATTCGCTGATGGCAAGCTCAAAAGGAAGGCGCCCTGCTCTTTACCATTCAAGGAGCAGCTTTGTGCTTCATTTTTCCACTTTGGCCTTTTCAAGCCCCTTTCATTTCGAGTTCTGAGGCGGCGGTCGTGTTTAACAAGAAGCAGCAGCCGAGTGAGAAAGAGCGCGCGGCGGGCGAAAAGAGCGAGAAAAGCACCTCTAAGCAGGTGTCTTTCTTTATCCCGCGGCGGCCACCCGTCCGCATCCATCTATCTTCGCCAGCCCGATTGCCACCCATTAAGTACAGCCACGCTTTTTATTTCCTTTGCGGCGGCTCTCGTGTGAAAACAAGACATTTATTTCCACTCTCCGACCGCCAGATTCTCAGACAAGAACTCTCGGAAAGGGGTTGATAGGTCTTACTTATTAATGTGATGATTTTATCCAATTATGGCCAGTAAATTAAATTTCTGATTGTAATTAAAATATTCAAGGATAAATTTTCTAGCAAGGAATTTTGCTACGTTTTTAAGTTTTTGTAAAAGGAAAGTAACACTAAAAAATTTATCTTTCAGGCATAGATTTGCTCCATTGTTGAATATGTGAAAGTTAACGATGTAATTTGTTATGATTCAATTATTTAATAAAAACAGGCTCATCCGTTTTTGTGAACGACAGTTGACTTTCAATTATTTGTAACATTTATTAAATTTTTAATAAAACAATGATAAAATTTGCATGTTTTTACCAAATTAAACTTCTTGATCTAAAAGAACTATTTTTATCATTTTGTTATAACGTAAATAATGATGTTTAAATTAAAAAGAATGTGATTATTTTGTCATTAATATTTTTGGGTTTCAATTTTATACTGTTTACTTCCAAAATAAGTTGTATTAAACCTCCTTCTATTCTGGCCTTCTTTGCGTGAAATTTTGAGCTCTCAGCGGTATTTTCGTCAAACGGAATTAGCCATTAAAGAGAGGGGCCAACTTGGAGCTAATGAAAAAACGCAAATGGAGTCCGAAACGGCAGTTTCATCGGCGGTTGGAAGGGAGATAAAATAAACGGAGAAGAAAGAAACATGTTTCACACCCTAGCTGTTCTGCCGCTGAAGGCGTGGTGGCGAAATCGCGATTAAAGTCGTGCGCGAAAGTTGCACAAACGGAAACGCGTGACATTTTCCAAAGGAACTGGCAGAGAAAAAGCGAGCTTGATCACTCGAGTCGGAAAAATTGGGTGCGGATGTGATACAGCGGGCTGTGCTGGGCGAGCGTTCTATAATTGAAGTGGGAAAATCGATGTGAATTACAATAAGGAGGGTGGGATTGCTAACTCGACTGTATGTTCACTTCATGTCGGCGCGCGGTATTAGACGGACGCGCATTCCAGTCACGTGCCGGGCCCATGTCGATTTTCTGCAAGACTGCTGAGGAAAGTGTTATCACTGATACGTAGAAAGGTCCCCTAGCAGACCCACCTTTCCTTCTCTTGCCGCACACACGCACGTAAACGCCAATTACACGCGACACGCGCACTAAACTCGGGCTTAATTATTCATTTGGGGCGTAAATGGCGGCCACTTGCGGCATTATCAACAGACGCGAGAAGTCTCACCTGGACGATTTTGTCCCTATTCTGGGGGCTTATCGCGGGAACACCAACCCCCAAATGAGCTTTCCCTCTAAACCAAGCGGTCGGAGGGTGGATTAGAGTTCAAAGCCAGAGGGAAAAGGTAATAGCGGTGGTAAATTTTTAATTCAAAGCAGTTGGATTTGCAGCCGTTGAAATTATCAGCTTACTTGCTCTTTGACTCTATGTGTGTAGAATAGGCAAAAGTTGAAAAGGAAAATAGGAAAAAAACTCGCATAAAGATTGCT